AAATACCTTCATCATTCAACATATGAAACATTTTCTTTATTATGATAATGTAATGTAATTTGATTGTTCTCATTTTTCCACAACCAGGAACACACTGGATGATTGAAATGGTCAGTCTGATTGTCTCCAAAGGGGACCCTACTTGGGTCCAAACTGTCAAAAATTTTGTCAGGTGTCCAGGGCTTGAGTCTAAAGATGAGCAGAAACTGTTGCTAGACCAGGCTGGACCACGTCTCATGCTTACACATCTTCCCATACAACTGTTTCCCAAGTCTTACTTCACATCCAGTGCTAAGGTGAGTAGATGCTGGCCTCTATGATGAATTTTTTTATTATTTATTTTATTATTATTATTTTTTTTATTAAGAAAAATTTTAATTCATTTTACATACCAATCAAAGACCCCCCTCTTCCCCCCTTCTGCCCCTCTAGCCTCCCCTTCTAGCCCACCCCTCATTCCCTCCTACAAGAAGGAAAGGCCTCCCATGGGGGGGAACATTCAGTTGAGGCAGGTCTAAGCCCCTCCCCCTGCCTCAAGGCTGTGCGAGGTGCCCCATCATAGGTAGTGGGTTTCACAAAGCCTGCTCATGCACCAGGCATGGATTCTGATCCTACTGCCAGGGGGCCCCCTAAGCGGTTCAAGCTACACAACAGTCTCACTATGCTGAGGGCCTAGCCCAGTCCCATGCAGGCCCCACAGCTGTTGATCTAAATTTCATGAGTTCCCACGAGTTTGGTTTGGTTGTCTCTGCATGTTTCCCCATCATGATCTTGATGCCCTTGCTCATCGAATCCCTCTTCTCTCTCTTCGACAGGATTCCTTAAGCTTGGCCTGTTCTTTGGCTATGGATCTCTGTATCTGTTTCTATCTGTGATGAAATCTTAGGAGGACTCTCTTTCTTAAACTGGCACACTCAAGGGTGTGTCCAAATTTATGGCCTTGTCAGTCTCCCTAATACTCACTTGTATGGGAACAGCTGAACTCACAGTTCTTCATTAATTGGTTAATGAATGATTAATGTTATGAATACTTGTTAACTCAGAAGTCAGCTTTCAACTTTGAATTTTTCCTTTTCCTTTTCCATGCGTGTATAAGTGGTGTGCATGTGTTTGGGCATGGGAGTGTAGGTTGTATAGGCACTTGTGGATGGGTGTGTATGGAGGCCCAAGGTTGATGTCTAGAACCATTTTCAATCACTCCTCTGCCTTATTCTTTTTGTTTGTTTTTTTGAGACAGGGTTTCTCTGTGTAGCTTTGCTCCTTTCCTGGAAAACACTCTAGCCCAGGCTGGCCTCAAACTCACAGGGATCTGCCCGCCTCAGTCTTCTGAGTGCTGCGATTAAAGGCATGTGCCAGCATCGCCGGCTTGCCTTATTCTTTTGAAATATTTGTTTCTCTCTCTCTCTCTCTCTCTCTCTCTCTCTGTGTGGGGGTGAGTGTGGGGGGTGGAGTTGATGAGGGTGCATGGCTCGCTTTCCACTGTATGGGTCCCAGAAAGTTAGCCTAGCTCATCAGGCTTGGTGGCAAGTGCCCCTGCCCAGTGAACAACCTCACCAGTTCCCACCTATTCTTCTTGAGGCAGGGTCTCTCAATCAAACACAGTTCACTGGCATGACTTATGTTGGGAACCAGCATGCTCTGGAGATCTCCACCTTCTGAGGGTGGAATTACAGGCAGGCTTCTCACTTGCCTGGTGTTTATGTGGTATATTAGTCAGGGTTCTCTATAGTCATGGAACTTTTGGTATGAATTTCTCTCCATATATATAAGGGAATTTATTGGAATGACTTCCAGGCTATAGTCTTGCTAATCTAACAATGGCTAGTGGTGAATGGAAAGTCCAAGAATCTAGTAGCTGCTCAGTCCCCTGAGGCTGCGTGTCTCAGCTGGTCTTCTGTATATGCTGGAATCCTGGAGAAGTAGACTCCAATGCCAGTGAAGGATTGGATGTGCTGGCAAGGCGAGGGCAGGCAAGCAAAAAAGAAGCAAGCTTTCCTTCTTCCATTGTCCTTATATAGGCTTCTGGCAGAAGATGTGGCCCAGATTAAAGGTGTATCTATCGGTGGCCATGTCAGAGGAGTAGCAGATGGCAATTGACTTCAGGGGATTGGCCCACCAGCATGCAAGGCACTG